CTTTCCCAAGTCCTGCTGAAATCCAACAAGCATATGAAGTCCACCTCCAGAGATGGTGCCTAGACATTAATTTTTCTTCTTAAGTTTTTCTTCTTAGTACTTTATTTTTTTCAAGCAGTTTTAGGTTTACAGAAAAATTGAGCCGAAGGTACAGACAATTTCTCCAGTTATTAACAATTTACATTGTTATGGTACATTCGTTACAGTTGATAAGCTAATATTAATACATTATTCACTAAAGTCCATAGTTTATTTTAGGTTTCACACTGTGTGTTGTGCAGCTTTCTAGCTTTTGACAAATGCATGATGTCATGTGACCACCATTCCAGAATCATGCAGAATAGCTTCACTGCCCTAAAAATATCCTGTGCTCCACCGATTCATTCCTCTCCTCCCTGGCCGGAGCCCTTGGCACCCACTGATCTTTTTACTGTCTGTATAGTTTTGCCTTTTCCAGAATCTCCTATAGTTGGAATCATATAAAACGTAGGTTTTTCAGGCTGATTGCTTTCACTTAGCAATATGCATTTAAGGTTCCTCCATGTCTTTCTGCAGTTTAATAACTCATTTATTTTTATCACTGGATAATATTCTGTGGTATGGACATTGCTTGCTGAAAGTGAAGAGGACTTAAAGCACTTACTAATGAAGATCAGAGACTATAGCCTTCAGTATGGATTACACCTCAACATAAAGAAAACAGAAATCCTCACAAGTGGACCAATAAGCAACATCATGATAAATGGAGAAAATACTGAAGTTGTCAAGGATTTCATTTTACTTGAATTCACAATCAACGCCCGTGGAAGCAGCAGTCAGGAAATCAAAATGACATATTGCATTGGGCAAATCTGTTGCAAAAGACCTCTTTAAAGTGTTAAAAAGCAAAGATGTCACTTGGAGGACTAAGATGCACCTTGACCCAAGCCATGGTATTTTCCATTGCCTCATGCGCATGCAAAAGCTGGACAATGAATAAGGAAGAACGAAGAAGAATTGATACCTTTGAACTATGGTGTTGGCAAAGAATATTGACTATACCATGGACTACCAGAAGAACAAACAAATCTGTCTTGGAAGAAGTACAGCCAGAATGTTCCATAGAAGTGAGGATGGCAAGACTTTGTCTCACATAGTTCGGACATGTTATCAGGAGGGACCATTCCCTGGAGAAGGACATCACACTTGGTAAAGTAGAAGGTCAGCAAAAAAGAGAAAGACCCTCAACGAGATGGATTGACACAGCAGCTGCAACAATGGTCTCAAGCATAACAGTGATTGTGAGGATGGTGCAGGACTGGGCAGTGTTTCGTTCTGTTGTGCATGGGGTTGCTATGAGTCAGAACCAACTCAGTGGCACGTAACAACAACAACGACAACATTCCACGGTATGGACATTAATATTTTTCAGCAGATCCAAAGGTGATAGAACACACAGGTGCCATCGGAGGTACCATTTGCTGCTGGCACAAGCCATGTTACACAGGGAGCCACGTACCTGGGCAAACTTTCTGCTGACGGAGCCTGAACCCACTGGCCCTCCTTTGTGTCTTTCCATAAGGAGACATTGACTTCTATCAGCTGTGTTTGAAAAATCTTTTAAACTGAAATAAAAAATGAGATAGATTTATATATAACGACACTGCTAGATAATCATGATCTATTCTTAAGTGAAGCAAAACAAGGCAAAGACCAGTATGCATAGCCTGAGTCCATTTTTGTTTAAAAATAATGTGTATGTGTATGGTTATGTCTGCATAAAGTAGTTTAAAAAAAAAACAGGAAGGATGCGCAGTAAATTGCAGTGGTTACCTCTGGGATTGAATAAACAATGTAAGGGACTTTACTGTTTTTAAAAGAAGTAGGATGTGTAGCTTCTGATTTTTTTATTTTCTTTTC